CACGGGACGATTGTCGCACGAAACGCGCACGGCGTCCGTTTTTTATGAAATATACATATTTGAATGTGATCAGCTTCACATAAGCGTGACGAGCGCGGGGCGGTTACAGGACGTGTACGTATTCCGTCGACGGCAACGAGTTTTGTTTTATTTTCCTGGCGCCCGTCGTGCAAGTTTTGTACAGTTTTGACAAGATTGACATCGAATGAAAATTTGAAAACATATTGACGTAACTTATCTAGTATGCACAAACGCATAAACTCTCGTTACAGCAGTGTGATTTGAACGACACGCAACGGAAAAAGAGACGTATCTCATACGAAACTCGTCTCGGGTTCGCCCCGTGATCGTCTCGTTCATCTGTTACAAGACCTTTATAATCAAATTTAAGCATCTAGATAGCTGAGCGTTGGTTATCAATAGATTTTTTTTTCGAACCGAAACAATAATAATAGTATTGTTCCGATTCTAAGGAAAAAAAACATGTATTTCAAAAAACTCATCCAGGAAAAACTAAAAATGTATTCAACATAAAAAATTTAAGGAAAATCAAGTGAAATAAAAACAAAAATTCTAAACAAATACTCTAATATAGTAAATCTTCAAACAGTCCACCTTCTTGAGCTAAACAATGACCGACCATAGAAGGCTCTACAAACAGTATTTAGCATTACAGAGGAGATAGTAAGATATATTATATATTATTTCCCGAACTTTGAAACGCCGCTGCCTTAGGTTCAGGGCGCGATCCTCCTGAAAACCATTGATTTTTCATTTACAATAATTCCAGAGAAAATAATCAGTACAGTATTGTAGCTCTTGACCCAGCAATGAGACGGTTCGGAAAAGCATGATTTAAATAGTCCAGAATGAAACCCGTATTATCCATCTTGTTGAAACCATGTTTCGTTAATTCTAGGACCAGCTAATCTTCCATGAAGTACGGCCCAATAACATGTTCTCCATACAAACCGCTCCAGACATTTACCTTTTGAGGACGCTGGGTTCTAAGTTCAAAGATGTTGTCCTCAGGATCCATTTTTTGGGAGTTTCGTACTTTGTACGCCTCCTCGCCATCCTTGTATACTTGAGTCAGACTCGTGCGCAAGCGCAAGAGTCGAATTAGTTGGAGTTTGCTTACTAATGCCAAAAAAATAATTTCTTTGGCTTCTTGATCCTTATTATTTTCCTGGACGTCATTCTGTTTATGGTTTCGGAGCGAAACGCACCCGTATTTTTGAAAATTATTAGCAACCCCAGAAATAGTGGCAATTGAAGGAAGAGGTCTATCAGGATAATTTTCGAACTTGTAATGAATTACGACCGTAAAACCATTGAACAATTTTGACTTTTTCAGAAATTTCATCATTTTGCTTTATTAATGTATACAAAATCGTTTATGGGTCCTATGATTGAACGTTTACGTTATCCGTAACGTACATGTTATGCCGAGTGTTAACAGCAACGATGCAAGTTCGTATGATGAAAAGTTTTTTATATAACAGATTACCTACTGTTATTTTCCGCCTGTTATGTTCTAATTTAACATATCGCCCCAACAGCCCCGAATAACATGCCGTTAAGTGCCCACCGTTCATGTTAGCAATGTTTTTATTTTTTTTTAGAGATCCTATTTTAAATGAATGGGGTTGATTAATTTACATAATTAGGCAATCCATAACCGAATTTTCGCGACGAATGTAGTTCATCCAAGGACGAACCATAGTTCTTCTTGTGACGTCATGAGTTGGAATGCTAGTTAAAAGCTTCGTCCATGCTTCCGGCGAACTACGTTCAATATGACGTCATGAGTTTCTCACGAAAACGTTTGTGTTCATGAAATCATAGAAGTAGTTCGTCGCGAAAATTCAGCTCAATCCATCCGTCAAAACGTATAATTCAATATGGCGTGGCGGCCAGCAAGTTAGTTTTCAATATGTTTTCATGCATATTTCAATTATTTTGCTTCGAGTTCTGCTTGCAGCTTTGATTTTGATCATTCAATAAAATATTTGTTTTTGTACGAGCGTGCGGGAAATTACTCTTCCTCCCGCACTATTTGCTGTGGGGAAGACTTTTTTCCGCACTAGAGCGGGAAGAGTTTGAAATAATCATTGTGACATCGAATTGTTTGTATTGTTAATACACCTTTACCTTTACCTTTACCTTTTTTATAAATACTGTTTGATACATTTTTAATTTTACCTTCTGCACAATCGTATTTCATTTACATTACACTTTTTGTAACATCACCTTTAGAATGCTGGTAGAAAAAATATAGTTCCTAACTTTATAACTCATGGGATTTCTGACTGCGGTCAAATTTAACCAAATTTGAGTATGTTATAGATCTGACCTTTCTGATCAATAACTATCATGAGCACAACTTAATCCTATGACTAGTTTTTGAGATACAGGGTGTTCAATGTGTGAATGTCCGATATGCATTATGACATCTCATTCAATCAGCCAAATAATATTCGTGTGAGAATTCAGTCAAGGCACAGAAATTAGTGAAATACCAATAGCTATTTATGCTCGTACCATAAGGGCATTAGGGCATAAGTTCATGTACAGGGTGTTCCATTTTGGTATACATAAGGAATAACTCTGTTTTTAGCGAACTTTGGCTACTTTTCTGTCAAAGGAAGATGGCGCCAACAGATTTGTCATCGCTTTTTTGGGTTTTTCAGATACAAGGTGTTTTCGGACAACCCTTGTATCTCGGTTCTCGAAAGTGATCGAAAAGGTGACAAACAGCTAAATGAGAAACAATCTTCTGGCCCTGGACACGTCAATTTTTATTTTTTGTATGTTTCTGAAAAAATGAAAATTGACGTGTCCGAGAGGAAAGTCAGGAAAGTGTTAATTTGAGAATAACAGGACCAGTATATTATTTCTTATTTAGCCCATGGCAACTTTGACAGTGAATATCTTGAAAACTATACATTCGATTTTCAAAAAAAAATAATCAGTTGTGACGAGAATCAAAATACCTTTAAAACAAGGTACCCCTCGACCCATCTTCCCTATATAAAAAAACAGTGGTGAAAGTCACCCCACCCTAGCGAAATACCGATGAGGTCAAAAAGTTTCCCTCTTGAATACAAAAATCACGTGTCCGAGCGTTTTTTTTTGTTAGATCGACCTCTAAATACCCTAAAACGCCTCTGTTTCGATATTCGTGAAGCAGTCTGTCTGTATATGTATACAGGGTGTCCCACTAAGGTCGGCCAGGTACGATATTATGGAGACCATAGACCTTACGTAACTTGAAAACGAATGCAGATATTGAATTGCAGTTTGCGCTAAAATGTAGATATTTTTTTGCTCTTTAAGCACAGCAATACAAAAATAATATTATGCCATTTGGATTTTTCATGAAAATTAGAAAAAACTGGATCTTGAATAAACAGCGCCCTCTAGAAGACGCGGTGGGAACTATCGAGCTCGAACGAAGTGGTGTTCTTAATAACAATGAAATTCTCTTCCAAATAAACCCAAATTGAATGAGTTTGAATGAGGGGTATGGAAGATACAGCAATTTCTAAAAAAAAAAAATTCCTACAGCTTCCCCCACCCTTATTACTGAAGATACGAAAAAAAGCCTAATAACCAAACTGGCGCAAAAATTAATGAACTTTTGATTTCTGTTGTTAAAACAGTATCTTAATATAGCGATTTCTTGAGAAAAGTTGAATTTTTAGCTATATCATCGTAATTGCGCCCCCTAGCGGTCATCCTAGAAACTTGAAAATAATTTCCATCAATTTCTCTTGGCCGATTTAGTGAAGAAAAAAAAAATCCCGAAGTCGTAAGGTCTATGGTTTCCATAATATCGTACCTGGCCGACCTTAGTGGGACACCTGGTATACAGGGTGTCCCAAAAAGATACCGACAAACTTTAAGGGGTAGTAGGGGACATCAAAACAAGCATTTTTGTTTATATAAACGGATATATGAGCCATTTGGGCTGTAGAGCAAAAAAACTGTTTGATATCTAGTTTTATTTTTCGCAATAATTAAATCGTTGTTTACTTATTAATTTTGCTTTAGTAGCAAATAAATTATAGTTTACAATAATTGTTCAACTCGCGAACTCTTTGGAATATTCCGGGAATAGCTTCTACATGGGTACAACTCGCCAGTATCCTTGCTATCAGATCTCCCTCATTACGAACAGGTGTTTCATAGACTAAACTTTTCAGTCAATGACCCGACGGTGTAATCTTTGCATTGAAGTAAATGGTCTACATTTTGAACAATTATTGTAAACCATAATTTATTTGATAATAAAGCAAAATTAATAAGTAAACAGTGATTTAATTATTGCGAAGAATAAAAGTATCAAACAGTTTTATTGCTCTACAGCCCAAATGGCTCATTTGCGGACATATGTTTATATAAACAAAAATGCTTATTTTGATGTCCCCTACTACCCCTCAAAGTTTGTCGGTATCTTTTTGGGACACCCTGTATATATCGGTGTCATAACGTTCTACGACGTCTTTCGATACCAAGTCGCCATTCGGATCGGTTATTCCACTGGCCTACTTCTATCCCTCTCTCGTGCATTCCCTTATCAATTTCTTCTTTCCAACTTTCTCTGGGTCTCCCTCTTCTTCTTCTTCCTGTATATTCTAGAATTTGTTCAATGAGCTTTTCTAGAGTCATTCTTTGGACGTGTCCGTACCATTTTAGTTGTTTTGTTTTTTATCTCTTCGACCATTGTATGTCTGGCTCGCATCAGTTCTCGTATCATTTCGTTTCTTACTTTCTCCAACCTGGATTTGCCGGCAGCTCGTCTCCAATAGTCCATTTCCGTAGCCTCCAATGTTATGATTGATTTCTCTTTCAGTTGCCACACTTCGCTACCGTATGTCATAATGCTTTTGACAATCGTGTTGTATATGCGATTTTTATTTTCTTTGCTGATATTTTGGTCCCACAAAATAGTGTTAAACATTAATAATAATAGATCTTTATTTAGCAAAAAACGGCTAATTCACAAAATTTACAGACATGCACAATATACATACACTATAAAAATTGCAATTCTTATTACTTAGGTGCTACACAATAATTGTAAATTGTAAAATTAAAATTAACACATCTTGTATAAAAAACAAACAAAAATAAATATAAAAAAACAACTCACATACATAAATTCGATCATTACATGATAATTATTGTCTACCTAGTGAGACTCGTCAAATAGTCTTTTCCTAAGGTTATTTTTAAAGGCAATTACAGTACCGCATCTTTTTATTGAATCAGGCAATTTATTATATAATATTAAACCATTATGAAATAGTGCCCTTTCTGTAGCCTTTTTATTTTTTTTGGTCACATGCAAATTATTCTGTGACCGGGTATTATAATTGTGGACGTTGTTATTGTATACAAGTTTGGAGGACAAATACGATGGAGCTAAAGAATTTTTCATTTTATGTATGAGAATCATAGGTTGGTATTCCAAATACTGTTCCACTGACAGCCAATTTAATGAGTGAAGCATGTGTCTAATTGATGTGTCCCTAGGTACACGCAAAATTATTCGCATGGCCTTGTTTTGTAATTTCTGCAATCTGTCTTTTCCATTTTTATTTGCCGTAAACAGGATGGTAGACGCAAATGTAAGATGAGGCAAAATCAGTACATTATATACCACTTTCCGAGACCACTTGGTTAAAGATGGAGCAATTCTAGCAAAAAAGTAGGTGTTTCTGGAGATTTTATCACCTATGTATGACACATGTTTCTTAAATGTTAACTTCCTGTCAATTATAACTCCAAGATACTTTATTTTATCAACAATTTCTATTTCAGTATAGGCGATCACTATTTTATACTGTAACTTAAACATATTATACTGTTGGTTATTACCAACAAGCATACATTTAGTTTTTGCTGCATTTAATCTAAGTAGATTTCCATTGCACCACAGTAGTATATTTTGCAGTTCTGCGTTGATGGTGTCAATTAGGTTTTTTAAATTATCTGAACAGAAATACATTAAGGTGTCATCAGCAAACAGATGGATTTTGCAGCTTTTAACTGTAGAAGCAATATCGTTAATATATAACAGGAATAGTAGTGGTCCTAGGGTACTCCCTTGTGGAACACCATTATTATTTAAAATCTCTAAGGAGGTTGTTTTATTAACACGAGTAACTTGCTTTCTATTATGTAAGTAGTTAGAGAGCCATTCCAAAGCTAGGCCGCTAACACCGTACTTTTCTAACTTGTTCACCAACCTATCCCTATCAATCGTCTCAAAGGCACGCTGAAAGTCTAAAAACACTGCTCCAATCATTAGATTTTTATCTTGCTCATTCTTCCATTCATGCAAAACATTCTGAACAGCAGTTTCGCAACTGTTGAAACGTCATTGACTTTTGGTATAGGTATAACTGTGGAAATTTTTAATGCTGACGGTACAGTACCAGTTTCTAGTGAATAGTTAACTAAATTTAAGAGAGGGTTTTCGATACTTTTATATATGTTTTTCATAAATTCTGCTGAAAATTCATCTGCTACTTTTATTGGGTAATTCAAAAACAACTTTTTCCAATTCTACAGAAGATATCATGACAAAATGTGTTAGTAGATTTGAAGGTGTTACTATTTTTTGTAAACATTCTGTCGAACATTCTGTTGTTGTGCTGGTTGTATCAATCTGTGATATTATTTCGTCAATACTACTGACATAAAACTTATTAAGACTATTACATAGTAGTTGTGGATCAGATATAATTTTATTATTTATTTCTAGTTCTGTTAATTTGTTGTCTTTTTTCTCTGATAACAAAGGTTTCAATGTTTCCCACATTCTTTTTGTATTATTTTTGCAACCGTCTATCTTATTTTCAAAATATTTCTTCTTCTCCTCGCGAGTAACTTGTACAGCTCTATTTCGATGTTGCTTGTAAATTGTTTTATTATCGTCGGATCTATTTTGTTTGTAATATTTATAGGCTTGGTCCCTTTGATTTATCGCCTCACTTACCCTGTCATTCCACCACTCTTTATATCTAGCTTTGATTACTATATTTTTTCTGGGTCCAACTTGATTTAGAACATTTAATATGGTCGAAAAAAATTTGTCGTATTTGTCATCCACACCTGCAACCAAATACCGCCACTCTATTAAAGAAAGTTTCCGATTCATTTCGTCATAGTCTATTTTACCACGGGAAATAATTTGCCTGTCACTCGTTATATCACTACTCTGGTGCATATGTAGACCAATTTTGACTATACAGTGATCTGTTATCATCGGTGTTTCAATAACATCAACCCTACCATCAATTCTCTCAAAGTTACAGAACGCCAAATCAATTATACTACCTCCCGAGTCCGTAGGGTGAGTGATATTGTCAACTGTCTGAATAAATCCTAAATCAGCCATAGTTTTTTCTAATCTTACTTTATATGTATTAGCTTGCAGCCAGTTAATATTAAAATCGCCCAAAATGATTGTATGCTTAGAGAAGTTAGAACTTTGGAGACACCAGGTATTGAAACTATCTAAGAATTCTGCGTCACTACTACTTGGAGAATGATAAATACCTACAAGAGTATAGTACTTTTTTTGGATTGATATGTCAATACGTGACAGCCAATAATTTTTACCTAGCACAAACACCTCCTTTTCAAAAATCTGGATATCATTTCTGACATAGAATAAAACACCTCCTGTGTGTCTGCTGTGACTATCACATCTAACAATTTGGTAACCACTAATAAATATCTCGTTATTCCTAATATCAGCTATTATTCTAGTCTCTGTCAAACAAACTGCTAACGGTTTCGAACTAAAAATAGTTCTTGATATTTCTTCAAATTTAGCAAGCAGGCTTTGAGAATTTAAAAGCAAAACGGAGTTTTTTACATCCCTAAAAAATTATTTTCATTTGAAATATTGGAAGGCGCTATCGTAACATCGTTTTGTTCTCTGTTAGATTTTTTTTAAAATAAAATCCTTTAGATAGTCACATATTTTAAGTTTTGCAGGATATCGCATATGCATACCATTTCTATGATAATTAAAACAATCAGTGTTAAGAAGAGAATTAACATTAAAAAACATAAACATACTCGTCTTACTTAATTGTACATCATAATATATACTTTTGTTAAACTCAGTAATAAATTTATTGAGTACCTCTCTATTATTCCATAGTGGTACTGACAAATATATGACGTTCGTGGTCAAGCTTACTCCCCTCAATTTGTTTTTTGTACACTCAGTCATTCTTTTACCATTTAAACAATTCTTTAAACCACCCATTATTATTACTATATCATTCTTGGAGAAATCATTAGTTAAAACACTTACATTTTCAACAATATTATCTAATAGCGCATTATGTTTTACAAAAGAAAAAATCTCATATTTGTCTCCCATATTTTTGATTAGAATCTGTGCGAAATCTACTACATTACTGTCTCCTAAAATTAACATTTTATTTTTTTCGAATCTCATTCTAACATTATCTGTACCTTTAAGGCTTTTGTCCGCTATTATATCTCTTTGAAGGACTTCCACAGGTGATTCTATTGAACAGATTTTATCTCTCAAATGTAACAGTTCATAATTAGCCTTTTTCAAGGTCGATGTCAATAATTTGTTGTCCTCATTGAGTACCTCAATTGAGGTGAGCATTGCAGTTTTTGTATTTTCGAATTCTTCAATATTCAGTTGTGCTTTCTCATTCTGTTCTTTTAAAATACAAATCGCTTTCTCCATATCTGCACATTTCTGTTGAAACTTTACCAATTCTTTATTTAATTTCACAAAAGTTGTTTCTCGCTTATTAATTTCCTTTAAAAGTTCTTCTTCAGAAGTTTCTGCAATGTCTTTGAAGTCCCTTGATTGCCTCCTTTGTGTCTGGATGAACACATCTTTTTCTTTGTTTTGCTTAGTCAAAGATTCAATTTCCTTCAACAGTTCGTCAGCTCTTTCTTCTGCCTCATACCTCAGTATTTCAATTTGTTCTTCTTTTTTCGTCAACTTCGTTCTTAATTGTTCTATTTCTTTACCAAGTCGGTCTTCTGCTTCTACTTGTTCCCCGTATGCCTTCTCACAATTTTTAGAACAAAGTGTTTTTCGAGATTCCAAGTTTCCTATTTTTCTTTCCAAACAGCTACCATGCCATATACTGTGGCACTGTATGCAGCTTAAAACGTGACATGTTTTATTTCTACAACATTTATACTGCATTATAGGCGACATACTGAAATAATTATGAAAACCCTGCAAAGTTGTGAGTTGTGATGCAGCAAAACTCCAAGTATAACTAAGGTATCAACTATTCAGCATCCGATGAACAGTTGCTTTGCTCCGACAACAAAAGGAATTCCAATAATCCCGATAAGCGATGGATTTGCACGAGGATTTGCATAACTTTTTTTTTTATGGTAATGTATTTTTGGGAAGTTACACACCAGCAAGCTCTTTAGTCAATTGTGACGGTATTATCCATCACTTTGTGAATAAAACAGGATAATACTGTAGCACATATCACAAGGATCAGGACGATATGCAACACAAAATAAACAACCGCGAAAAACACACCGAAAAAACCTCTCAAACCTGGACAAATCAAAACAATCTTGTCTGCAAGAACAGAACAAGAACTGACTGACATTCTAATAGCTTTCCTGCCATATACATTTCTCTCTTTGATGGCTTCATCTAGAGTCCCGTCATTTGGTATATTAAGACCGATGTATCTGTATTTACTGCACGATTATAATGTGCGGTGCCTCCATCTTCCAGCGTCATATCCTGCTGTGTTCCAACCTATGCACATGTATTCAGTTTTTGTTGTGTTGACTTCTAGCCCCCACCTTTCATACTCTTCAACAAGCTTTCTTGTCATAATATATTCCAGATCTTCCATATGCTATGCCAGCTCTATTTGGTCGTCTGCAAAACTCAATGTACCTATTCATTTAGGGGATGTCCATAACTTTGCATTTCTGTTTCCATTTCGATAGCGGTTTTTCGAGGAAGATTTTAAAAAGTGTAGGTGACAAGCAACATCCCTGTTTTAAGGCCTTTATTCGGGGAAAAAGCTTTTTTCTACAGCCGTGCGTAAAAATCAATTTTCCACACTGATATGCGTGCGGAAAATGAGTTTTACCGCACGGCATGGAAAAACTTTTGCCGCACGCATATCAGTGCAGAAAAAGTTTTTCCGCACGGCTGTCAGCGCGGAAAAATTTTTACCGCACGGCTGTCAAAAGAAAAAAAAAATTCTACATTTTTATGCCTGTAGGAAAAATATTGTACCTCACACTTGCGGAATATATTTTTCCGCACTCGGCTGCTTCACCGAACTCCGCTACGCGTCGTTCGGTGAACGGCAACCGCGTGCGGAAAAAATCATTTTCCGCACTTGTTAGGTAAATAGCTATTGTGACATTGTTGCCGATTTTTATTTCTATGACGGTTTTTATATAGTTGCTGGATCGCTTTTATTAGGTTTGTATTTATGTTTGTAGTTTGAGAGATTCCCATAATTTGGTCAGAGGGACACTGTCATAGGCTTTTTTCAGGTCTACATAGAGGAGATGTAATTCCTTATTTACTGCCGTTATTTTCTCGCTAAGTTGAGTAATACAGAATAGATGGTCTACTGTGGATCTCCCTGCCGTTGTCGGCATATTCTTGTTCGATTTTTCCCTTTAAGATTTTTGCGTATATTCTGCTAATTGTGCTCATTAATGCGATTCCTCTGTAATTTTCACACATCTCTTTGCTACCTTTTTATGAATGGTTGACATAAAGGACAGTTTCCATTCGGATGGTACTTCTCCGCTGTTCGAGCAGTTTTAGAAGAGTCTCTTTAGGTTTTCATATAGTTCTGGCGTGCCATGCTTAACTAATTCTGCTGGTATATCACCGGGTCCTAGGGCCAACTAGGGCCTTTCTGTTTTTTAGTTTTGCACAGACCTCCTCCACCTCCTCAACAGATATTCTAATAGGTGAGGCAGATATTTATACTATGTCGTTCTCGGGTTCTTCTGTGAACTGTTCGCGGTCTTCAGTGAGTAAGGTGGGGAAGTACTTATCCCAATCATTTAGAGTAATCGGATATATGATTTCTCTGGTCTTTTCTTGCCTCAAAGATTATAGAAATCTTCAGCTTTCTGTGCTTTCGTCCTCCTATATAACAGTTTAATCTATTACAGCGTCTTTCCCTTGTGTCGATTTTCTTTTGCGTGATCATATTACGTACTCTCCTTTGTGATAGTTCATATAATTCTTAGTGGCGAGTACTAAGATATTTTCCATAGGTTTGTTTTTTTCTTCAATTTCCTTTTCTATCTCTTCATCCCCCCAATAGGGTTTGTTGAGGGCCGGTGTTTTCAAATAGTCCCAGAGACGGCTGCAGAGAATCTGTCGTCATAAGGTGGACGAACGAAAATAATATGAATATTAGTTGAGGCACTAATTAAGAGAATACGCGAAGGTTGCCTGCGAAAATCCTGCCGAAGCAGTGTTTTTCAATTTTTTTTATTAGATAAATAATTACAGTAAGTATCTTTTAGAGGTGGACATGAAATGAAATCACTATGTTGTAGGAGAGCGTGAGGCGAATTCAACCATATAAGGCTGCCTGCCCCCACCCTGCCGCAACACCCTTGCAGCCTGGCTAAAAAGGTTGGTTTTTTATCAATAACTATCGTCATCAGGTGGACGCATAAATTAGGTCTCAAATTAAAGGTCTCGATCTCCTCTTTCCATCAAACTAAGGCTGCCTGCTCAAATCCTGCCGAAAGATGTGGTTGCCTCGTTTTTAAAGTTTCCGGTACGTGCGCCGCGCGCTAGGTATTTGCGGAGCGCGAGGTGTTTAGTGGCGAAAAAGTCGTCTACAAAACACCGAAACGAGTTTTTATTTTTGCTCCTTGTCACTTTGTGTTACTTCTCAAATTATTGATAAGGATCTAAAAAACAACACGTCAGGATCTAACACAACGCGCCGCGCGTACTTTTTGCGAAGCCAGGCCTAGGAATTCCACCCTCTGGCCGCTACGGCTACCACCGCAAGTGCAGTATCTAGACGTAGAAGTCGTCGAGCTTTCATTTCCGATTATTTTTTTTTTAAATAAACGTGAAATTCGTGCTTGTTTTAAGATGAATTGTTTTCTCTATAGGAAAGACAATGGAGTTGTTCAGCAATTTTCTAATGCAGCGTTGAAAAAGTGCATAAATTTTATTGCTTATCGTCGTGAGAAGAATTTCAAATACAAATATTGTGAAGGACTGCTTTTGTAATTTTTTTTTACTTACAAGTTTCCTATTGACAGGTTTGTTTACAGAATCGTGACGTCAAAAAACGTAGCCATCATGGAAGTATTGTTTTGGCGGAAAATTTTTTATTTCAAATTTAGTATTATTTTTGGAACTGTCTAGAGTCCCGAACGCGGGATCGCTGAAAAAAAGCGAAATCCCGAATAGGCGTGGCTTAACAACGGCGTCCGGGACTTTCCAAACATTATTTGAATCCCGACCTCGGGACTGTTGTTACAGAAGTAAACTCCCGACTTATAAGGCCTATTCGGGTTTGGAAGAAGGACGGTTCTAGAACGGTTCAAGACAATCGTCCAGTTTATGGATCAACAAAATAACAACGACTCGACTATCACAAATTTTAATAATAAACTGTGCGATTCTTCTGGACCGTTCTAAAACCGTACTTTTTCCAAACCCGAATAGGCCTATGATTTCATCAGACAATTAATAGAAAAACAAGGAAGTAGCAAAAAATAAATATCGTGTATTTCTAGTAGGTTAACACAATGAAAAAGAAACTTTGACATCTCGTTTTGTAGATCTTTTCTTTTGCTTTTTAGCTGGTTTAGCTCCTACCGGTCTCTTTGTATTTTCTGTCCTATTTCTCCTTCGTTTTTTAACTGTTGATCTTGTTTATCCTTGCTGCTGCTGCTTGGTTCCTTCATAAGTTTCAACAGGATTAATAGTAATTATTATTTCAGAATTTTCGAACTGCTGATATTGTTCATCATATTCCTGAATCTCATAAGTCAGCCTATAGGGGTACCTATCAACAACGATGTTGTATAAATTAAAATTAGGGGCATAATGCCTCGCGAATGTGATAGTTTTTGCATCCCGTTTCCAAAATTACACCCTATTTTCTTTCTCATATAAATCAATAGCATCTTGTAATTCTTTATATGAACTATGAATCAAATGTGCCATTTGTATTTAACCCCATAATAAAGGGTACAAATTTGCAATCAAAACTGCCCAAAACATACAGCAGTTGGCTAATCTAACCTGGGTGTATACTATATGATAAACAAATTTTAAACAATTATTACAAATTCGGGAGTTTACTTTTGTTACCAAGGTCCCGAAGTCGGGATTAGAATTATTTTTGAGATCTCCCGAACGCAGTTATCAAGCAACGCCTTTTCGGGATTTTCTGTTTTTATAGCGATCCCGCTTTCGGGACTCTAGACAGTTCCTTTATTTTTTGTGTAACAAGAGCGGTATCAGTTAAATAAAAACTGGTCATATAAATATTGTGCAGTATACACTATCGATTTAAAACAAATTTGGAAAATTTTAGTTCACTTGCAAGTTCCCTATTTTCAGTGGTTAAATTCCCAGAGAAGAGAAAACCGGTCAGCAAAAATCTGTCATTAGCTGACCGTCTATTATTCATCGATAGACTATAAAAATTTATATTTTGAAATTTAGTTAGGAAATGTCATCTTTTTGACATTGACTTTAGTTGTCAAAAGTTGTTCATTTTAACACACACGCCAAAATAAGCATTAAAATGAGATCTCATTTCATCCCTGAGTGTTGGAATAGGATTTAGAGTGCGTTCCGCGTGAGTGTTAAGATGAGTTTATAATGGCCGTTTCCACCAACTATGTTAGGGGAGCCCTAACGATAAGTATTCCCTAAACTGACATTTTTCTATATAAAAATGAAATGTCATTTTAGGGAATACTTATCGTTAAGGCTCCCCTAAAATAGTTGGTGGAAACGGCCATAAGTATTTTGAATTTTAAATATTTTGAATGAATCACAAAAAATACTGTATGAAACACGTCGCAGGGCTGGTTTTTTGCACGTAATGTGTTGGACCGATCTTCACATGAAGCTTCTGGCAGTTGTGAAAATTATGGCTTTTTAAAAATTAGGTTTAACTATTTTTAAATTTTGAAATGTAGGAATATAGGTATGCAACT